ATCTCATGAACAACTTTTACTTAATAAGCTATATTAAATTACTTAATAAAATTCTGACTTTACTATAAAGTAACTACTGATGATCGTATAGTAGCTTATTTTTGAATATAAGATATTTTTATGTTTTTCTTCTAAAAAAGGCAAGTAGCTTATTATTAGATATAGCTTATTTTCAGAAATATATGGTATGTAAAATTCTCTTGACAATACTATTGTTGAAAGAGAGAATTTTACATAGTCAACAAAATGTTTTTTAAAGATATCTTGTGATCTACAAAGCTGATTTTGATAATTCAACTACTATTAGATTCCCTTAATGAGCTCTACAACTTCAATTAGAAATCCAAAGGTAGTTAACTTAGTATGAAAAAAAGTTTTAGAATGATACAGCCCATATTTGCAAAACTCTAATTTCTATATATCAACTGCATCACGTTAAGGATATGACAAAAATCAAGTGATTTTTTAGAGTGAGAAGGTAAAAAATTTAAAATTATATATAAAGACCTAATCAAAATATATAGCAAGAGGGAGGAGGGGGTAAGTCTCTAATAAAAAAAAATCAGATGATAAATGACATTGCTTTTACACTATAACCTCTCTAGTTGACTGGCGAATCACTAATTAAAAAAAATTAATCAATTAGTTGTCGACTAATCAACTAATTGATTTTTCAAATTCAATATCTGTAGATCAATCTATTTATGATTACTGTGTAATCACTGAAAAGTGTAAAGAATATCTTTGGGCTTCAAAAAATTATTCTAGTATACCTTATTATACTGGTGTATCTCATTATACTAGTGTATTCTTTGACAAAGAGATTATTAAGATCGTTGAAGAAATTGGTCCTGAAAAAATAGCTATGATTATATCTGATAATGCAACAAATACCTGTGTTGTATAAAGAGTACTTTGTGAGAAATATCCTTATATTTTGGATATTAGATGTGTAGCACATTGTATTAATTTAATTATAGAAGATTTGTGCAAACATACCTTTATAATAAGCATAATTCAGAAGTTTGGTATTGTTTATAAATATTTTACAAAATCATATACCATATACCAATATTTAAAAGATATTATTAAAATTTTAAAGATTAAGGGTGGTGACTTAAAGGATTATACAAAAACACATTAGTCTACAATATGGAATTGTGTTAATTCGATTGTGCGACTCAAATTTGCTTTATGAAATTAAGATTTTTTTTAATATTATTTATTTATTTTGTATATCAAATTAATATTTGTGCAATCATTATCTCAATTTAATTTTAAATATGCTATAACATAGAGGTGCAAAAATATTTAAATCATAAAGCTATAATTTAATTATCTCAAATTTGCTAATTTGTAATTAGTTAGTAATAATAATATAGTAAGACCTTTCTAGATGCATACTCTATAAGTATATACTCTAAATACACAGTATAGCTTGGCCCAATTTCTAAGAGCATTACATATTTTGCTCTTTATAAATGCACTCTCTTTAAGTATACGTACTGCTTTTTTTAACGATAGTTCCAACAGAGTATACTTAGAGAGGTTTTACTGTAGCATATTTGCATCTCTAATCTTGTTAATATTTATCTTTATCCTAATATAGCCTTTTACTTTAATAAATTTCTATATGATATTTATATAAATTCTTTCAGAACATAAGAATGATCTTAAAACACAAGTTAAAGACATCTTTTCTGATCAAACTTTTTATAACAACTATTAGCTTATTGCATCTATTCTTTATCTACTTAAACTTTATATTGGGTATTTAGAATCGAGGACTTCTAATTTTGCCAATTGCTATATCTATTTAATATTGTTAGCAAACATGATTTTTCATTTACCAAATCAAAATATAGTATTTAAAAATTACTATATTGAGAAATTTAATTGTCGTTAAAATAAATTTTCTAATAATCTCTATCTTTGGCTTTTTTTTTACATCTACAATATCATGGTAATACTATATGTATAAATTTTTTAATTATTTTTTTTAAAAAAATTTTATTAATATTTTTTTTTAGGTAATAGTATTGATATGAAAAATTTTGTAATATTATTATAACAGCTGCTCAAATTTGAAAAAATATAGGACACGATCAAGAATTATGCAGCAAATTATTATTTTAAATACAGAAATATAAAAGTAAAAAAGCACTATTTGATCAACCATACAATCCTAAATCAGATACACTAATTATTTAGTAGAATACTGCACAATATAATAAAGAAGAATGGGAGTCACAAGTATTAGCACTTTGTCTTTTTGTAGTAACTCCACATAGTGCTTCTTGTGAGCATTCTTTTCAGTTCTTGATTAATTTTATAATCAAAGATGTATGAATTTGGCTATAGAGCAGGCAAAAGAGATGTGTAAATTGCATATCTTTTATATTACTTATGCAAAACAAGAATTACCTTATTATGCAATTAATATACTTGAAAATTTATTACATAACTAATTAATCGATTTAGTTATAGCGATTAATAATAAAACTGATGAAATTACTAATTTTTTAAATACAAATAATGATAATCTTGATACAGATATAGATATCGATACATCCAGAGTATATACTTTAAATATTATAAAGGATATAAATATTGGGTTGCAAATATTTAACTTGAACTGAAAAGCAAATAATGAAATAATAGTTAGTTCAAAAAGACAAACTATTATATTAAATTTACAACATAATAATTTCGACATTGAAATATTAGCTAAAAATATGTCAATAGAAATTGATGATGATAAGAATTCTTAGGTGTCTTCAAGTTAAAACTAGTAAACAGATATTTAAGTAACTTTAAAAAAATTAAGATATTAGAACTACATATACGATTAGCCTATTTTTTTTTTAATAAAATTTTCTAATATAATATTTAATTTTATATATTTTTTAAGCAGTGTTATGGTGGGCCAGAATATATAATATAGTTAGATACTATTCAACAAAAATGTTTGCCAAAAATATTGTTAAAGAGCATAGCGGGCTTTATCATGATTGGCTAATTTTGGAAGATCATCACATCATAATAAAGCTTTATTAAAGTAATAATTTTCTGTCACAAGAGTGTACAAAAATAAATTCGGAGCCACAAATACAAATTCAGGAAGGTTATAATATAAAAATTTATAAACTACATCTTCTGTTCTATAACATACCAAAGTAATTTGACAATTGACAAGGTAATTCAGAAGTTAAATGAGAGGTATGTTTAGGTGTTTCAATTTAACCAATATAATTTACAATGTATTAGACTTGATAAATTTAAGTCATTTCTAACGCTAATCTATTTTATTTTATAACTTATTGTCGCAGCTGATGCTGAAAATGGCTGAAGCTGAAATTTGGGGTCTCGATTTAAAAATATAAGCCCTGCTAAA